ATCATCTACTTTATACAACATTTACTACACACATGTCTTTGATAAACTAATTGCATACTACTTGTGTAATTCAGTTGTTTCGTTTCTTTTGTCGTCGAATCTGCATACGAGCCGGGTTCGTCAGTTATATGTATACGTATATCACATTCATTATATACAATGAAAACTATTCGCGGTGCGCCGATAGTGCCGTTTTGAAAGATATTTAGGAACACTAGTCGTTATAAATACAAACAGGTATTTAGGTATACGATCTTTTGCCATTTGTCAAATCGTATACGTGCTTTTATCGGAACGGAATAAAAAATAAAAGTAAATCGCTTGTAGTAGAAAAAAAGGAAAAAATAAAAAAAGTATTACATGATAAATAATATACACACGAAATTAGCGGCTAGTATATTCCATCATCATCAGAGATCTAATAAAATATTTCAATAAAATATCTAGAAAGGTATCGTTTTTCGTATAAAGCGGAACGATAAAATTTATTATAATACAGTAAAACGTTACGTCGATCGCGAGTGATATTGTATTGCTCCGGACACAAGTCGTGCCAGTTAAAATTTACAAACTGTTGATATGTTGATGAATAATGTTCGGGAACAAAGTAACTCCTACGTGGAAAGTAACGATATCGTTCTATACATGGTTTAAAGAGGAAATTACCCAAGATGATTAAAAGATGCGAGCTCTGCTGTACAATTTGGATCGAACGTGCAACTGAATTAACAAGTAGCCAATTAGCAATTCGTTATTCATGATAATAACTGGAACTGAACATCTAATGAGTGATGTCTGAATCGATCTCTCAGTATACTGTGTGAATCGTGAACATTACATTATTCATACTTAGAAATACACTTGCTACAATATCATCTATTACTCTTATATAACATTATCATACGTGGCCAATAAGAACAGATTTGTACTTGCATTAAAATTGTCAAGTCAACTCCAATCACTTTGCACAGCCCAGTATAGTGTTGTGTATGTTCTCGTATCATTTTTTTTTCTTTTTTCGTTCTCGTCTCGTTTTAAAAATACAATTTCTCATTGGATGGCAGCATTCTTATCAAAAAGTGTTGGTTTGGAGAATGTTGTAATGACATTTAGGAAGAGATTAGAGAGGTGGGGGTGGGGGGCGGGGGAGAATAGGGATTCCTTCTAGTAGACGCTAATTTGTTAATAAATATGTGAAATTGTTCCAATTAGTTTTATGTGAATATCACAGAGGCTTGATCGGAATATCGTCGTTTTTTTTTTCTCTCGTTTTGTAGGAAAATAGGTGTATCTACATGTTACGATGGTAGTAAAGATTAAAATACTCTTAAATACGGGGGCGGGGGCGGGGGGAAACGTTAGCTCTTAAAAATGCAATACACTATACATGGGCTAAACGCATTACAACACACCTCCCTTCACCTGGTCATATTAGAATTAATTCATCGATATATTCGATAATAACTTGTTGAAATGTGCGGCAATATGGAGCATTTTGTAACGTTCGCTATTGAATTAAACCGTCGACTGCGAGTGATATTGCTAGAGCCAGAATTAAGAGAAAATGTGATGGGGATTTTTTCCTTGTTATTAACATCTTTTATTATTTTATTCCCTTATAGTTACTTGGGCCTAGACCGCAGCGGCTGCTACCTGCGTGTAATCAGTCCATTGCTTGTTCCTACTGTCGGAGTCATTTCCAACTCCACTAGTAGGGGAAAGTGATCTGGAACATGATCGGTCAAATAATTCCACTTGTTCTTCTTATAAAACCTGTCGACGATCGACTTACCAGATGGTACGTGGGGGTGTGGACAACCGACCACTTTGTGTTCTTTGAACCATTCCGCGCTCAGAGGACCCAAAAGTCCTAGCGGTACCATACTTTGTTTCGAGTAGAAAATGTAATCTATTATACCTTTGAATTCGAATCTGCAAAAGGAGAGTAGATCGTTGTCTTCCGTCGGGGTACGATAATAAACGACGAGTGTATAAAAGCAACTTACGTATAATTAGTGTAGGGCATGATATCTTCACTATAGGCGGATGCTAGTTTAAAAGAATGCGTGAATTCATTAGGTTTATCGCAACCAGAGATCTTTTGTAAGCATGATTTATAAGCCAAGTCTTTAAAGTCACGGTGATCAGCCGCTACTCGACCCGATGTAAGAAATTCAATTACACCTGGATTTAAATAATTGTGCACGTTATTAGAAATGAGCTGTCCTCGAAAGTGAACGTTTGCCTCGAGATATTTTATATGTTACGATAGCAATAAAGGCATATAAAATACCTCGAGGGTGAATAAAAGGCGATACTGTACCAGAATCAGGTAGGGAATTGAAATCACCGCAGAGTAATAGCTGAACATTGGAAGAGTCAGGCTTGTGGCCAGGTCTGAAAGACTGGCCAGCTTGGTCCAAAATGGAACGTAATTCATTACTGAGCATCATTGTTTGTATTAATTTAACATCGCAAAATTCCGGATCCCAATGGATGTGTGCTGTGCAAACTAAAATTGGCTGTTGGACTTGTGCTGGGTCGGACGGGAGTCCTGAAAAATACATAATTATCCCATCCTATTAAAAGAGGATGACTCAATGACACGTTCGATATGTCTCTATTCAAACTTTTCCCCGGACGAGTAATTAGTCGAGGCTCACTTTTCATTCTCTGTCTAACGATCGTTAGTTTCGCGTTGCATTTAATAATGTTTCTCCGATATGATAAGACGTCAATGTGCCATTCACAATGACAGTTATCGTCTAATTATTCCAGTCAAGATTTTCAACATTCGAGACGAAGCGCACGCTTCTGCATCGTAAAAATTGACTGGCAGGGCATCGTACCCAAGGACGTTATACTGGAAGGGGGCAGTATACGGGGAACGGAAAAAAAAAAGAGAGAGTAACGAGAAGAGATACCAAGTCAGGTTTAATCCTTTACGCGTGACACAAGTGACTACATTTTTAGACTCTCTCGAGAGAGCTTAATGCGTTGATTAAAAAAAACAATGTATCGTGTGACATGTAAGGGAACGTTTGGTAGATGACTACCTGAGATAGGATTGGCAGTCCGGCGTCCTTGTGTCATGAATTATAAGGCTGGCTCGCGTATATCTGGTCTACAAACTTGTGTGCCACTTCATCTCCTTCAGGCGTTTCGAAGCGCGCTCTTCGATTTACGCTAGCACGAGCATCACTCACAATTAATTAAGCGGTCTCCCGATATCGAACACGCCAACTAGTCTATTTCGTTCGCCGGTTTTGCAATTTAAACCGCGTCTATATCGCGATCGAACGCTACGCTCGCCCTTTAATATGCATACTCGATTCGCTCGATTATATTGTACAATCATCTTCTTCGTACTCGGACGCGGCCGGAATACGCGTGTAACAAATTACTCCCCGAGCGCGGAATTTATCATCCAGGCTTTTTTCCACATTTCGCATATTGCCGGAAACCTCATCGGTAATTTTATATATGAACGAAATCACTCACCATTGTCCCAGGCAGCTTCCTTGGTCCTGAGCAAAGCGGCCAGTCCAATGTTATCCTTTGGCATCACACGATTCAACATGTTGTCCGAACCTTCCGCGTTCGCCATTGCCAATTGATTAAATTCCACTAAATGCTCTTTTATCAGTGTAAATCTGTCAACACACCGCAAACAAATCCATCAGACACAATCGACGCCGATCGTCCATTTATACCGTTCGCTCGTTGAATCGACTGCGGATATATAAAAAGATTTGTTGTGCAGATAACGTATAAAAATCGACGATCTAATCGTAAGACGGGATTTATGATGAATCCAATTAGGAATTAAAAGGTTCCAGCTGTATGCATTACGTATAATTTAAGAGAGATCGCTTCTACATTGTTCCCACAAGTTCTCTCCGAGTAATTGGCAAGAGTCAATTTTGTTCAATGAGAAAGAAACGTTCGATGGTTAGACGATTTTTGCCGGGAAACTTGTAAGAAGGCGTATCACGTACGCCATGTAGAATACAGATTTCCCTTTCTGATATGTGCAGCACGTATAGTTGGGAAATGTATTCTTCACAGAATCCCCATTACCAACGTCCTCTTATATTTCTGAATCGCCAAACATAATTCAACAATTGCATCAACATTCAAGATGTTTGCCTTGCCAGCTATTAATATAAGGACACAGTGTTTAAAGCTTCGTTTAATGATCGACACGATAAATTAATGGTTTTATTAGAGCCAAACGAGTGTCTATTGATCAGCAGTGTGTAAAGGGGACCGCGAAGGAGGTACGAATCGGTTAAAACACCGGTGGTCCCCGCAAAGATTAGGTTGTTAGTCTACCATTGACGTCGCATTCGTTATGCCGGTCGGGGATTTTGCGAGCGAGTGGCGAATCAAGTAGTATAGAGTGGCTGACGGGAGCCTTTAAAGAAGCTGCTGCTGCTGCTGCTGCTGCGGCTGGTTACAGCCGGACGGTGGATGTAGTGCCTACCGTTGCACGTTAGCCGTTAGCAGAGCCCATTTGTGCAGCAGACCATTTCTGTCTCGTATCTTGTTATCCCCCTGAGATGCGAGCGCAGATATCTAATATTTCCACGACGCTCCCCGTAGCTTTCTGTCTTTGGTTGCAAAATTCAGAATGAGCTTCCACGATACGGTACGCGGGTAGCTGATGCCACTCGGCCACGCGGCTTCTATGAACACGCGGCGAGGACAATTAATAAGGGGACCGGCTACAAACGCCGTACACGTTCCGCCGCGATTTATGCACACGCTTATCCGTTCTTTCTCCGGTTTTTTTTCTATTCCGTCCAAGGACGGCGGAGAACGTCGATAAATTCCGCTTAACGCATGCACGCAAAAGTAGAATGCTCTTACAGAGATGTCCGCTAATTTAAACAGTCGGGCAACATTTCATTGTTCCGACAAACTACCGATACCCTTTGATTGCGTGCGTCAGCTTCGATCTCGCCGTCGAAATGGATTCGGTCAGTCATCGCGTTAAAAATATTCTCTCCCGATTGTTATATTTTATTTCGCGTTAAAATTCATATTCTATTCACGTTCTACCCGACTCCGAGCGGGATTTAGAGCGTGTACTCACTTGGCCGTCCTATAGAATATCGCGCAGCCGTCGACGTATTTACGGTCGTTCTCGGCCATTGTCTTTGCCCGAGATTTCGGCGAGAAGATCCCGTCGTAGCCGTCGTGCTTCAGCTCGGGCAGGAAGAAATTATAAAATTGGTCCGTCTCGACCTCCTGCAGACTAATGATATCGGCGGCATAGTGCCGTATCTCGTCGAGTATACCCTTTTTTCGATACTCCCAATCGAGCGCCCAGCTCGGACAGTAACCGTACATTTGCCGTGTCGCGTATTTGTCGCACAGCACGTTGTAGCACATTACCGTGAATATACCTGAAACAAAAACGAGACGTTTAGCGTGCGGTATGCGATTCATTTAAATACAAAGCCGGATAAAACCCGAGTCGATTATACGCGTATATATTTCTTTGCGACCTCTCTTCTTATTCTATCTCCTTGCCCTCGGCAACAGAATTTGTAACGTTAAATCAATCGGTATCTATAAAACGTTCTTCAGATTCCGTCGTTTTTATCGGTACTAGAATAAGTCGGGGTATTAAATTAGTGATCTTATTACCGGCGAGAGTACGGGAGGTAGAAACAACCTCGTCGTCGAGTGTAAATTGAGATATCGTATTTGCTGGAAACCAATAACGCGTACATCGACCAAACTACTAGTTACGTAGAATGTGTACTTAACATCAGCTAGGATCGTTCGATAAAATTTAATTGGCCAACATCGTATTAGTCGACCGAATTGAACGGTTTAGAATAAAGCATGTCTGGCATACTTATTTCTGCGCATCGAATTAACGAAATCAACTATTTCATCCGAGCGAATTCTCAGAGACTATGTGAAAAGTACTCGCTCCCAGTGGTCTACGTACTAGCTGTGCAAGCAGGAAGACCGACTGGAAGCGAAGCGTAATGGGAACGATAAGCGTCAAACGTGTACGTGCAAATATGCTACAGACACTGTGGTTTCATTTAGAAGTTGTATACGTCGCTGAAATTCGTGAACACGATAGAATTTTGCTCGCGGAACGACAGATGCAGATTCGTGCATTACTTTTATTAGCCGAGTCGATCGGCAAGTTATTTTCCATGCATCGATGTGTTCAAAATCGGTGAGCTCGATGTACGACTCGTGCTTCCTGTAAATAGGAGTCGCGAGCGTTCCTAATTATCCGTAATGGATAACTGGACAGTACTCTCGGTAAAAACTACTACTGCCGCTGTCAGCGTCGCGAGAGGGGATTAACGGACCAGGAAGCCAGATTCAGGCAGCTTACTTTATTATTCTATCGGATCTATTTTGCGGAACGGCACAATTGCGGTCGGTTCCCGATAAAGGGATCGAGCGAGTGTGATAAACTGTGCACCTTTCCCCGGAGATTCAAGTGGCCGACACGAAAACTAGCGTCAAGTGCATCTGGTCTTACCGGTCGCGTTTGTCTTTAATTCTCGTTTGTCCACGTTTACCTGTGTTTCATACCGCTTGTACGTAGACACGGTTTACGACGTCCCTTTTCGATCGAAGGCCTTTCTGTAATCTCGCGGATAACGGAGCGCGAGCGATAATAGCCGAGGAAGAGCTAAAACAGGCTGAACCCTTTTTTTTCCTTCATTCTATTCCAAACGGGCTACAGCTCTTTCCGGCGTAATTAACGGCCACCGAGTAACTCCGGCTACCAGAATTTCGAATAATCACATTTTTCAACCTCGAAAATTGTTACCCGCCGAGTTTCGCAGTTAATTAAGTTGTAACTCTTGCCGCAGTCTTTGTTAAGTTTTAATGACATACTTGTACGAGTACTTTTTGTTCGAGATCGCATTTGTCAGGTACGAGGTGCGTAATGAACTTCAATCGTTGATCATATCAACTCGTACTCAACCGTTGGTCATTAACAACTCGAAATAGACAAATTATTGACACGTTCAATTGCCGCTTGAATTTCAGTGATGAGTGTCTCCGACCGATGGAAGCTAACACTGGTCGAGTGACCGCGATTCGTTAAGGATGTATTGGCTATACAGTCAATCCCAAAAGTTTATGCACTTTAGAAACGCATTTTTTAAAAAGAAATCTGACGTCGGAAGAATATTGCTA